TTTTTTTTTTTTTACTTTTTAGCCAATTCAAATTGTTGGGGTAATATTTTATCCGCAAGTTACTAACAATTCAATAGTCAGTTTTAATATATATTATTCAGGACAGACAAACTATATTTTTTGTGAAAAGACAAAAAGAGTTATATACACAATGCTTTGCTCAAGGCTTTACTCCATTAATCAAAAAGAATATATCCTTTTAAGATGACATTCATTGAACTATTCCTCATCATATGGACAATGAAACATGATTATAACTAGCTTCTGTGAGGCCACAAATTCACCCAGAGTTAAGTAAAAGTATTTAGACCTTTTACCAATTTAAAATTGTTGTACACATGTATCTCCAAATTGATAGGAATAATGTAGTGACTCAATGTTATTTAGTATTTAGCCTCCGTTTCGCCCCCATTTTGTGGAAATGAAAATGGGTGGAATAGTATTTTTTTGAAAAATGAGTGGTTAAAAAAGAAGGAAAAGTTTTCAATTTTCATATAATATTATTTTGTGGAAAATTGTGTAGTTGAAAATAGGAGAGAGAAAAATGGAATGAAAATTAATGGGGCCAAACGGGGGCTTAATATTTTTCATCAAGAATCAATGTTCAGATAGATGCATTTGAAAGGGAATTCTTTATTAGATTCTCTAGCCAGACAAAAAAAGAGCGAAAACAAGTTGCAATTGAATTACAAATTTTGAAAATTTTATAATAGAGAATGAAAGAAAGCAACAAGAGGAGATACTTTGAAAGTTTTAACCTACCAGGATCCCAGATTTTCGTCTTTAAGTTAAACTGGTATCTAAAGGGCTATATATAAAAAATTCAAGAATAAAGAGGAAGAGTTTGAAATGAAAAGGACAAAGACCAATAAGGCCTCAGACACTTCTATATGGCAACAAATTACGGATATTACCGATGACAGAGAAAAACTACACAGAAATGAAGCACTGCCACATATTTTACACATGATCCAACAGTAAGTTTTATTTCAACAATACCAAGAAGTCAAGTTAATTAGGATAAACAGAATGTGTCAAAAAAGGATTGCTACTATGATACAATACCTCAATAGTTATCGTGTGATCAGAGACATCAACAGCTTTGGCTCTAAAAATACTGGCAATATCAAGAACATTGCGCCGAGCAGTGGCATTAACAGCTATTTTTATCAACATCAATTCCCGCTCAGCGTAAGGCAAATGCGTAAGATCCCGAACCTGAAAATGACAAAGCTTACAAGTTGTGCAGTTGTTTGAAGCATGATCAATTCAAGAAAAGCAGAAACAAAACTGTGCTGAGTAAGAAATCTTCTAGTTCAATCAAATAGGTCTGTGTGAATTCGAAAATTAGAACTCCTTGGTTGACATGAAATGAGGACTATCACACAACACAAACGCTAGGCACAGGGAAAATTAAAAGTAGTGTAGTCCAGGCACTAAGGAAAGATGAAGTATGAGCACGAAAACCCATTATTTATGGGGTAAGACCTGGGAATGCACAGCACAAATAGAATATTTCAGCAAGCAAATCTAGTTGTAACAAGAAAAAGAGAACCAGAATTTTATTCCACACTAAAACGTCAACAATTTATCCAACTACAGTGGCAAATTCTATGTTCAGAATTTGTAGAAGATATTTCTGTGATTTATAGGGGAAAAAAGTGATGTGTACATAACAAATGTGCAATGCTGGATGTGAATCATGTGACATTCCAATTCAAAGGCGAAATTAATGCAATTCTCACCTCATGAAGATCAACTAGTTTATTAAATTGTTGCACCAACTTGCTAATTGATTCGTCCGTAGCAGGAACAACAGTAGTAATGCGAGAAATGCCCTCAACTTCAGCACGATCAAAGGCTAAACTCTAATGATAAGAAATGAAGACAAAAATGCACCAAAAATCAGAAGGTGTTGATTTATTCCACACTTTCTGCAAGGAATAAAATGACAGTGCATACCTGAATATTGTATCCCCTTCGAGAAAAAACCCGTGACAAGATTAACTCCAGGAACATCATTAACAAGCATTGAGAGAGTGTGAGAACGAAGACCACTTGTCTGCAAGCATCAAAGCCAGGAATTGAAGTAAGCACCAATCATGGAAACTTTATACAAAGAATAATATTGCAGCAAAACTCGCAGTACCTAAACATAAAATATTCATAATTACATAGGAAGGACAAAATCATTAGAGATGTATAATCAGCATATCATAAGCCTCCAAAATAAAGTCAGCGTATTAAAGGAGCTTGTGTATTAAAATATAAAAGATAGTAATAAGAGACACTAATGTCAAAAACAGAAAGAAATGATAATTACTTACTTCTCCATCATTCAGCACACCCCAGTGAGCATCAAGAACTTGACTGAATGAAATATCATTGACTGCTTCCACAGGATAAACATCTCCCTTCATCCAACATAAATGCATTAGC